ATTTTATTTCGGCCTGACGTGAAATGATTAGATTTTGGACAAAGTCGGAACATTTGGGGGGGTATTTTATGGGGGGCCGTTTTTATATTTTATGGAATATGTCTGTTATTTATGTTTGAAGAAGAAAATTCTTCAAATAAAAGTTATTTCTTATATTATTATCTATAATTTTTATTCTATACAAAATTTTCCTAAAATGGTCCGTACTCGAGAATTTTGACAAAATAAAAAAAAATATTTTTTTTATAAAAATTGTTCAAATAAAAGTTGTTTGTAATATAATTCTCTATCATTTTTATTTAATACATAATTTCTCTAAAATGGACCGTATTCGAGATATTTGGGAAAATGTGTAAATTTTGAAATTTGAATAAAACTCAAAAACGGATAAAGAAAAAAACATTATTTTTTAAACTTAAGTTTTATTTCGGCCTGACGTGAAATGATTAGATTTTGGACAAAGTCGGAACATTTGGGGGGTACTTTATGGGGGGCCGTTTTTATATTTTATGGAATATGTCTGTTATTTATGTTTGAAGAAGAAAATTGTTCAAATAAAAGTTACTTCTAATATTATTATCTATAATTTTTATTCCATACAAAATTTTCCTAAAATGGTCCGTATTCGAGAAATTTGACAAAATATGCAAAATTATGATTTTTATGAATATTGTTGAACTAAAAGTTGTTTGCGATGCCGATCTCTATAATTTTTTGGAGCTATACGAGGTAATAAATCACGTTTTGTAAATGTAGAACGCACTGCAGCACAATCAGTTACCACTATAAAATGAATTCCTGCTAAATAAATATGAAATCTTATTATGGACTCGACAACAAACTAATTTCGTACCCCAAATAATTTATGCAGGTTTCAAAAAAATAGCATTTTTGTAAATTTAGTTTTAAGTTTGCATTTTGCAAAATTTCCAAAACTCATCTTTTTAAAGTTTTTAGACCATTTTCAAATTGTGTCACTGGATATTAAAATGTCATCTAAGTATAAGCTTATATGATTTTTACTGGAACAGACAGTGCTGAATGTGATTTGATTTTTACATAATTTTCTAAAATTATAGGAATTTTTGTTTTTGAGGTGCATTTTTGTATCTGAAAAGAATCTCCATGAATTGTCAATAAGACGCCCCTGTGATTTATAATTGGTTGACCCACTATTATTTCTGTAACCCCCAAATCAAAATCCACAAAATATATATATGATTTTTCTAAAATGGAGGAAGAGTGCTAAATTTAAATTTTTCAGTATTTTCGTTTTCAATGAATATCTATAGAATACAGACCATTTCAAGAAATTTTGTCTAAAACAAAAATTTTAGATAGTAACTTTTACTTGAAGAATTTTCTTCCCCAAACGTAAATAACAGATATATTCCATAAAATATCAAAATGACCACCTATAAAGTACACAGACACACAGACACACAGACACACAGACACACAGACACACAGACACACAGACACACAGACACACAGACACACAGACACACAGACACACAGACACACAGACACACAGACACACAGACACACAGACACACAGACACACAGACACACAGACACACAGACACACAGACACATAGACACACAGACACACAGACACACAGACACACAGACACACAGACACACAGACACACAGACACACAGAAACACAGACACACAGACACGCAGACACCCAGACACCCAGACACGCAAACACGCAAACACGCAGACACGCAGACACGGTGTATACAGATAGGAAAGTAAAAATGTTTCGAGGTAGATATATGTGGAAATTGTATATATTTAGTTTAACCTCTAAACATTTATAGAGGTACTACAATAGGTTGTACAAAATAAACCGGAAAAAGTCTATAATAACTAGATAGAAAAGTCATGTGTTGGACACATCAGATTTTTTATTGAAACTTTTTAACTAGGGTGAATTATTAGGTATTTTTCTTCTTTTTCAGCTTGACTTTCGGTTTACCAGTGCCGTAGATTTTTCGTGTAAAGGTAGGAGAGTGAATGTGTTAAAATAAATAAGTAGTAATATCAAATTTTAATATATTTAATAAGTAATCAATGTTACGTGTATAAAAACTATGTAGAGACAGGGATAATATTTTTTCTCATTATATACGAGGAATATGCGAAAATATATATATATATATATATATATATATATATATATATATATATATATATATATATATATATGGGTACTTGTAGGATCTATTTAAACGTTTTTTAGCAGAGATAATTTAAAAAAAAATAATATTTATTGTCTAGTAATTAAAATTATGCATATTATCTTTTCAGATTTTGATAAATTAATCTAATAATTTATAAATAAATATAAAGTTACTTTATTCTTCAGCTAAAATCATATTTTTGGGTTTCAAGCGATTATAAATAGTTTGATTGTTTATAGCAAGAGAGGGGCGTTGAATGCTATGTTTATTCCCATTTTTATAAAGTATTAAAACCGTTAAAACTTAGTGGCATTAGTTTATTACACGCTTAACAAACTTTACTAACATTTGACAAAGAAAAGAAGTTAAAATATTGAATATAAAAGGTAAAAAAAAACAAAATATGGTACTCATTGCTTTTTTGGCAAACTGCATACTGTCATCTGCCTCTTTTGATTGCAATATCGATTGGATAGGAATTAGGAATGATATATGCAACTTTATATACACATGTATATATCGGGTTGTCGTAGTAGTAGGGTGTTACAGGTTGGTTTTTATCTTTTTGTTTGAGGTAAAAACAATTTCATACATTAAATATTCGTAAAATTCAAAAAAATGTAAATATTTTTAAACGATGAATCATTGAAAAGAAACTTTTGAATTTTAGCTAGTTTTTTGAGTATTTGGGCATCGTTGATGCAATTATTTCAATATTTTCATCAACGATTTTGTTCGGGATCATTCCCTTTCTCTCTGACAATAAAGATGTTTAATCCACGCTATTTATGTCTTTTGAAATCATTTATTAAGGGTTACATTTTTTAGAATTCGATTCTAAGATATGTTAGCTCTATAATATTTAATTTCTGATGTAAATTCTTGGGTTAAATAGACAAGGCTGCAGCGATAAAGTCTGGTGATATCTCCGTATAATTATATTAAACTTTCTAGAATCAATCGCATATATAAACTTAAAATTTTTGTCTTTTTGTTGTAAGTGTTTGATTTTGGAATGTTTAATGAATTGTAAGAGTATCTAGGGGCTTTATTAGAGGTTGGGAATGATAGAATGATTGTTGATGTTGGAATGAACTGACGTCGCCGGTAATAGAAGATTTCCGGAGTGTAAGAAAATTGATATGGATCGAAAAATGGATGGAATGTGAAGTAAAATGGATCAGCTGTTAACGGGATGAAAAGTAAGCAGCATGGTTTTTATATAAGGTGAGTCTTTTTTTCAATAACCAGTGTTGCTATTTGGGTGAAAATTTCACCATTGGGTAGAAATTTTGGGGAATTTGTTCCCATTGAGGCTCCTGTAATGACTTTAAAGCGAATTAATCTTGGATTTCCTATTTTAAATAATTAGATAATAGTTATTTTTTTACGTATAATTCAATTCAATGGCTGGTTCGGTATTAGTCAAAGGAGTAGTTATTATTAAGATAGAAACGGTCAAAAACTTTGCTATGACACGGATTTTAAGGTTTGCATTGCCTTTATTTTCAGATAATTTTTAATAGGCCCTCAGCGTCGAATGTATTTAACCACTAGCGGACTCTGTCTTAACTAAACTCAAATGCCTTGCAATATTGGCACACAACGTTCATTGGTTCAATAGCAACAATTTGTTGTGAATTGTAATCGATTTCCACGTTATAATTGTTGTTGATTTCGATTCCATCGATTCCGTTAAACTTCATTCCTCGCTTCGCGTTGCTCGTCGGTTTGACTTGCTCTTGAATATATTTGACTTGCAGTATAGCGAGTTCTGCGATATAAGTTTGTACGTCTAATTGCTGGCATTTTAAAAATGAAAATTCATCTGTAAATTAAAGAAAACTATTGTATTCTTCTTTATAACCAAGTATACCAAGTGTTATGTTAGTAACGTGTATGTTAAGTCTATCCAAACTTACCAAAACTTCATATTTAATTGAACTTTTAATATTAGGCATGATAGCTCTGAACTAACGGTGATGTACACCAAGAAATTCAGTTTTTTGTTAGAAATATATCTTTATATATTTTCTTAAATTTTCTAATTTTCCGCGCAATTTTCTTAATTTTTTCTTTCATAAGAACCTTCTTTTGATAATAACAAACACAACAAAAAAATAATTAGCGAAATCGGTTTAGCCGTTCACGCGTGATGCCGTGACAAAGGGAAATAGGGATTCATTTTTATATATATATTCTTAAATTTTCTTATTTTCCGCGCAATTTTCTTAAGTTTTTCTTTCATAAGAACCTTCTCCTGACAATAACAAACACAATAAAAAAAGAATTAACGAAATCGGTTCAGCCGTTCACGCGTGATGTCGTGACCAAGGGAAATAGGGATTTATTTTTATATATATAGATTATAGAAAAAAAAGGGCTGTTTTTAGGGTTTTCCCGGAAATTATTCAAATTTTTCTCGTCATAAAAACCATCCTTGGACTTCAACGAACATTTAAAAAAAAGAATTGGTAAAAAAGTTGAAAAAGTACTGAATTCAGTACAAACCTACTGAATCCAACCCTGCCTTATAGGAACGATTTCTTCTTCTTCTTTTAGTGTTTTAGCCTCCTTTGGGTATTTAGCCAGCGCAGGTAATTTAGCTTAAATTTCGAGAATATTCTAATGAATATAATGGGAAGATGGAAAATTCCAGACTTTCTTTAATAAGAAAGTCTGGAATTTTCCATCTTCCCATTGAATCAAAATCCATTGATTGTATTAATACTTGATACATATGTAAACTGTCAAATCCAGTCTCCTAATTTCAGTACTGTGTAAAGACCAAAAAGATTCTAAAAAAGAAGAATTTATTTAAGGTTATAATAAGTTGTTTATAAAACTAAAACTTCTGCATATTTAATTATTATTCAAAATTCTTATACTCCTTAAAAATTATGAATTCATCATTTAACAACGATGAAGATGATAGCTTTTTCTTCGAATCCGAACATTTAGCATTAAGAGGAAACAAGGATTATTGCGAAGTTCTGAAGACACTGGTTATTCTATCAGCCCAACGTGAAAAAATGATAAAAGTATGTAATTCTTTTTTTAACACAACGATTATTGCTTTTAAATATTAGTTATCTTAGATTGGAGATAGTTAAATCATTTAACTGAATTAGGAGATATAAATATATAAAACTAGTAAGTTTCTTAACAGAAGGGTTGTATCATTCCTATTAAAAGGTCTAAATTACTTTTCAAAATATAATGTTGGTGTGGTACTGCTACTTTCTATTTGTGTACTGCTTGTAGTGTTAGTCTTTCCCATATAAAATAGGTACATAGTCCTCAGAAAGTTTAAAAACCACTAGATGTATCCTATCAATACAAAAAAATACCCTATTCAGTATGGTTATGTTTTGACGACACTGAGGGGATTATGATTGACAACCAGTGTTATTTTTAACAAGTCTGTTACTTTTTAAACACACAGAAATAACAAGTTGTTCACAAATAACGTGCCTGTTAAAAATAACATTATTTATCAATCATAGCCCCCTGATTTTTAGTTTGTGTGTTCTGTAATACGTTAACACCAATAATCTGCACTTTGTTATTAATTATATGTGAGTGAAATGCATAATTTTCTCATTCTTGAAATGTTATTTTTACATGGTTATATAAATATATTGGATAAGTGTTCTGTGTACATATTACTATGAGAATTATAGAGAAATTGGAGCAAAATGAAGACAATACCTACATTTAATGTCAAATGTACTATTTAAAAAGATGTAATTGTTAACTAGTCATTCAGTTACATTATAATATGACAGTAAAAACTCAAAACTTTATAATTATTCTTGGACATATAAGCAAAAAGATATACTTATATAGTGATAATTTGATTTAATAGTAAGTGTAATATCACACCTGATAGGGAAGAGAAAATTATGAAGCAGCTAGGCAAAGTTGTTGCTAAAGATAAATATATAGAAGTTATTTTAAAAGTTTGATAAAAACCTAGTAGAAGCTTTGAGAATGTTGAAAAAGGGAACAGCAATAGACCCGAAAAAATTCCTTGATTATTCAGAGCGCAGTGGCGTTTTAAAAAATATATAAAAATAATAAAATTATTAAAATTGTTATTTATTCTAAAATAATATTTTTGGTTACCTATAACTTTAAATTTCCGGGTGGTTTTGGGGTTGCATTAGAATTTAGAAATCTATAACTACTGGGATGTACATTTACAAATTATTTATTGCCTATCTCTAAATTCACTTTAGCTGAGTTGCAAATCCTGCTTAGAAGGCGTAGACAGTAGCTAATTTCGCACCTGTCGGTAACTATGTACTCTGTATTATCAACCTTTGTTACCTCAGCTTGAGATCTGTCTTGGTCTGTCTGCTTTAGCTGAGTTGACCTTTAAATCATGTCTATATGTCTGCCTCTGTCTGTCTGTCTGATAAAGCACTTTCTAAAGATGATACTGTTCTATACTTTTTAGAAGATATTATCAAATATTATGAGATTATCTTTACTGATGGTACTGTTAGCAAAATGAAAAGGAGAAAGCTGACATTAAAGGATGAGGTATAATACCATGTACATTCCCAAATTTCCCTTTATATTTGTATTACAATAATAAAAAATCTGTTAACTGTATTTTATTTTGCTCTTAAAACTATATATAGATTCAATTCAAAAAGAATTTGGCACAAAATTGTACTTATCAAAGAAGGGCTTTAGCGTGTATTTATATTGCTATTGGTCCGATTCAAACGGGGAAAAACGGCATTATGTAGATAACTCGAAAACGTTGAAGAGAAAAACCATGCGATTGCCAGAAGAGCCTTAGCGTGTTCCTCGGATATTACTTGTCCGATTCAAACGGGAAAACGGCATAATCTCTAAGAGGTAACCTGAATACAAAGTCATCAAAATTTTGCTTATCCCACTCAGACCTAAAATTCCTCAAGATGAAAATGCGATAAGACAACAACATATTCTTAAAGACACCAGTAATACTTTGCAAGGTGTTTAACGCTAACCAAACTATAAATAAGGTCGATACAGGAAGAGATATCTAATTGATCGGTTCGATTCATAAATCAAATAAGTATGCATGTATGTAGGTGCTTTAGAAGCCTCCTTATCTCTAGTCTTCATTGTCTGTCTGTGTCTGTCTGTGTCTGTCTGTGTCTGTCTGTGTCTGTCTGTGTCTGTCTGTGTCTGTCTGTGTCTGTCTGTGTCTGTCTGTGTCTGTCTGTGTCTGTCTGTGTCTGTCTGTGTCTGTCTGTGTCTGTCTGTGTCTGTCTGTGTCTGTCTGTGTCTGTCTGTGTCTGTCTGTCTGTGTCTGTCTGTCTGTGTCTGTCTGTCTGTGTCTATCTGTCTGTGTCTGTCTGTCTGTGTCTGTCTGTCTGTGTCTGTCTGTCTGTGTCTGTCTGTCTGTGTCTGTCTGTCTGTGTCTGTCTGTGTCTGTCTGTGTCTGTCTGTGTCTGTCTGTGTCTGTCTGTGTCTGTCTGTGTCTGTCTGTGTCTGTCTGTGTCTGTCTGTGTCTGTCTGTGTCTGTCTGTGTCTGTCTGT